ATTCATTAGGTTCATACCAGATCCATCACTGTAGTCTATAGGTGCATAGTCACCAATCAAAAGACTTGCTACAAAGCTGCTAACCAAGGATATTCTTTCACAAGTATTATATACATCACAATTTGTCTGGTATATTTTTGCAATTTGATTTCCTGTGAAACGTTCATAAGCCCTGGATCCTGTTATATTGCTCAGGTTCTGTGGCCCACCTACTGCAGCCTCTAGGGCTCGGCACTGTGTCCCTGTACTTGAATCCATCCAAATTGGTGATTCACTGACAGCAAAAGAATCCTATTTCAAATTTAATGACAGTCAAGTTGCAGTTTTATTAGAAGCATCATACAGTCAACTCTCTTTTACCAGACACCTCTATAAGACAGACACCCAGAGTTGGTCCCTGCCTCTCAATAAGATGGACATTTCCTTAAGATGGACGCATAGTTCTGGTCTAAAGGTGTCCATCTTAGGGAGTGGACTGTACTAACTCGGGAAGTGAGAATAAACTCTAAAAATTGATATACCAATCTTCCTTAAAATTAATAAGCCACTCAAAAGGCAAACTTCCTACCAATAAGAGAGATGAGAAGTGTGACATCATGTTACCATGGTAGTAAAATTTCCGGATCTCAACAGTCTTTCTTGACAGACACAGCATTTGCTTTGTCCAGCAATGAGAGAAAAGTATGGGCTACCATTTTGTTCCTGAGTGGAATCATGCACAGGAAAGTCATTTTTTTGTTTATTTCTGCCATATTATTTGCAGGACCAGGGTTTGTTGAAATCCAGATATTTTGCTACCATGGCAATGTGATGTAACAACTTCTCCTCTCCATACAGCCATCCTATCATTGGTGATAGTTTCCAGTTTTGGTCAAGTCTATATAGTGATCACCGAAAAAACCCTCCGGTACCCATGCCAGCAGGGTACCTTGATTGTTTTGGATTATTATTACAAAAACGGAAAACGAATCATCACACAGAACACAATTTGACGTTGGTCTTGGAAATCATGCACTGCACAGGCTAACCTAATGATTAGTCAGTTATCTGCTCGCAGATAACTAATTTTAAGGTTATGCTGTTTTCCAAATTTAACTGTAGACTCTTAGTCAATGAGAAAAAAAGATAGTAAGTAAAATGTAAACTATAATAATGTTGCATATAGTGCATTATGCATTTTCCTAATCCTGGCTTGATTACAACTAACAACAAACTAACATACATGTACATGTATGAAATCTACAGTTTTCCATTTTCAAGAAATTACAGTGCGACTACTATAACCAGGGCCAACTAGACACAGTTGGCCAATCAGATTACGGGAAATACTAATACATTGCGAGAAAGTTAGTTGTCAATCATAATTGAAATAAACAACATAGATCGAAATCAACCAATTACAACCAACAGCCGCAAGCCCTAGGATTTTAAATCCCATGGAAAACTTTTTTCGGTTCCATGCCCAGAGATCATGGGAAACAATCGGTAACAATTTTTTGTTTCATGAAAATTCTTGGGAACCCATCGCCTAAATGTTTTCAAGGTAAATACGTTCATTGCACTCCCGTAGTTCCCTCGAAAACCATACCTGATTCCAGACCAAAATGGGCAAAGTCTATACCCGTTTTAAGACCAAAACAGTGCAAAAACCACACATGTGGGAGTACCCCACCCCACAGGGGGGTATTACACAAATCTTTATACAGGACCCCCAGGAAGGGGAGAAATGCCCTACCTTAAGCTGCTCATACAAGGATTTTCCACTTTTCAAAGTTCTCAATATTTCTTTCGCTCCTTTCTTCCAATAAACACTTCCATGTTGTTGGCCTGTCCCTGAAACACATGCTACAGATCTAAATTCTAGGCCTTTTTCTTTCAGTCTTTGCAGGACAAGATCTAACGCCTTCACCCACAGCAACGTCGGGGCGGTAACAGTAAGGCTATCCTCTTGTTTATGAACTCCGCCTTGCGTTTTGAACTCTGGAAGGTCATTATCGAACTGGACGGAAGCTTCCGTCGCAACATTTAGATCACTGTCAATAGCTAACGCCTTTAGTTGTTGCGTACTCAAGTCAAATCCAAGGAAAAGTGGACCAGCCATTTTGAGCTCCAAGTCAGGTAACCTCACGATAAACTTCGGCAGTTTTCGGTACTTCTCGGATTAATTCGTAAACATTCTCGTCCATAGATTCTTGAGCATGCGCATTGTTCTTCACGACCGCGTGCGCGGCCATCTTGTCAGAGTGACTTCGAAGTGTTGTGGCAAAGTTTCTTTGCCCTTTATCTAATTTTACCGCCTTTACGTCCACAACTGACCGATGCCTACCAAGTTATTTGTCGGTAACGTCTCGGACTCCACCACCGAGGACGACCTGAGGGTAGCTTTCGAAAAGTACGGTCCTGTTACTGAGGTTTCAATTATAAGAAATTATGCATTTGTGCATTACGAAAAGAAGGAAGACGCCGAAACTGCGATCAAAGAGCTGCACGAAACCACCCTAAAAGGAAATGAAATAAGAGTGTTAATGTCGACTACTCCACACAAGAATGGAAGCGGCCGTTCCGGTCGAGGGAGAGGACCTCCGTATCCCAGAGAACGCGACAGACGCGGCCCTCCGCGCTGGGACTATGGCCCTCCACAGTCTGACAGACGTTACCATCCGTATGACCGTGATTACAGAGGCTCTTATTCGTACGGCGGCAGAGGATACGGTGGATACGGGTATCAAACTCCATACGACACGGACTATTCGCGTGATTATTCCAGGGACTACCCGCCTAGAAGCTACCCACCCTCGTCATCTTCTTACTACTCCTCCGACTACAGATATGGTGGAAGTGAGAGACCCGTGACCTACCCTGATGTTAAGAGGCAGCCTTCCTCATGGGATCGCTAATGTCAGTGACAGCAACATTTATTTTTTAGTTGTTCCACAAACATACAGAGTACTTGACCTTTTGGCATTATGTAGATGTGCCATCTATGTAGATGTGGATCTCGTTTGTTTACACGGGTGCCGTTGTCAAGTAGGAGAATCAGAGTCTTACTGAATATAGGCCACTTGCACTAAGAGGTCACGTGACCAGTGCTTCCTTTAAACAATGAGTTGAAATCTTGCTGATGCCAAAAATTGTTAGAGCACACAAAAATTATCTTACACCCGAAATTTGAGAGGAAACGCATTTAAGGGAGATATTTTATGGCACTTTGATTTTTGAGCAAAGTAGTATGATTTGTATTGGCCGCCATGTTGGAGGGCATGCTTTTGCCCACCAACATGGCGGCCAAAACTACTTCTTGCTTATATCTTGTACAACGTTTCATATTTACGCTCAGATGTGCTGTAAACGTTATCACATCATCTTTTCAACATTTTCCTTGAAGTTTAAGTGCAAAATTTGTGTTCAAAGAAAGGTAATTCATAATTTGAAAATCACATTTTGGTCACGTGACCATTTACGAACTTATTCATTTTAAGAAAATGGTTCGGGTTTGAAAAACCAAATCACCATTATTTTGTCTAAGATATGACCCATTAATCGTTTTTCGAAGGCAAAATCATGTAACTTTCATTTTCATAAAAACGACGTCACATGCCTCTTAGTGCAAATGGCCTATTGCTTCATTCTTGTAGCCGTGGAATCTATTATCATGTAAACGCCTTGACTGCTGTAGCATGTGGACAGACGTAATTCCTGTCATTTCTTCTCCTCACCTGAAAAGTTTGTGGCCCAGGGTCAGATATTACTTTTTAGGTGGAGAGAAGCGATGGCTGGAAATGTGTCTGTGCTCACAGGCTTTGACTGTTGTTTATCATAAGTTGTTTGTTCCACTTTGTCCAGCAAGCCAAATGTCATACGCACCTCTTTACTAGCCACTGTTGTATCACGGCCTCTTACTCAAAGTCAATGGGAAAAGGAACTTCACCATTGGAAAAGTTTTTTGAAGAACATACTAACCAACTAACCCATAGTAAAAATACCTACATCTTCATACAGAACTTGAAAGATAAATTCAGTGACAGTTTATGAGAAGTGTAGTCAAAAGCAAATGTAAATTATTTTCTTACCTGACTGAGGGAGTAGTGTAGCTAACTTTGGGAATTATAAGCATTTTAGTGGAAAGGGCATTCACCAATTACCTCTTAACCCTGACATGAGCATGTGTATTCTCCAAATTGTTGTTGATTCATTGTTACTGATGAGGAGAAGAGTTAAACAGTTGAGGCTATTGAGGTGATCATTTCCTGTATTCTCATAACCCTTATTTTTGATCAAGCGGTGTTATTTTAAAAAGGAGATAGGTAGATGCCGGTTACTATGAAGACTAAAGCACTGGTTTCAAGAGCTCTTCATCCAACACTAGTCCATTTTAAATTAATGATGATCTTTTGACAGGGAATCTTGTAACTTATGTTTCTATCGCAGGCATTCTTTTTTTGTCAATCGAAAAAAAAGCAGTTTTGTATAGCTCCAGCTTTATGTATTTTTTAAATTTTCTTTTGAGGTCGTGAATCTATAATATTAGCCATTTGTTGTTACAATTATTGAGTAGTTTTGTGTTATTTGCTCCAAGGAATGCTTTTCTTTTATTTTACCTGTCAGTTTTTTAATGCCATTGAAGTTGATTGGTGTTCTGCATGTTGATTGAGTGATCAAGTTTCATCTTCTTATGTAGACGGTAAATGCCTTCAAGTTTGCTACCCTGAGAAAACAGCTGACATTTTGTGATGCCTCCACTGTTTTCCCTGCAAAATGACATCTGAGAAACGACTGTCCAGAACTAGGTCGTGTTTCTGGTAGGCTGAAGCAAATTTGCTGAGCATGACAAATCAGAAGCACTACCCAGATCTGGGTAGTGAAGCATCATCAGTATGGAATTTCTCCACTCATTTCTAAGACATCATTTCACAGGGAAAGCAATGGTGGTATTTCAAAATGTCGACTGTTTTCTCAGGCCTCAAATTTGCCAATCTTTTGCTTATTTTAAACTATCATTTACATTGCAAGACTGGCATTTTATCCACAGTAATTCAGAACTTGTTAATAAATTTGCCTCTGCAAGTCTAGCTGTCTATAGTGGTAATTTTTTTTGCCGTGAAGTTTGACTTCAATAATATTAACCGTTACTTAAAACCAATTTTGTCTTTTGTATAAGGTGATAATTGTCATTATTAAAATTTTGGAAGGGTGTTCTTAACGAGAAAGGTCTTCAAAACCTCTGAACCTATGACATTCATGGTAACTAGCATTAAAGTTTGTGAAAAGGGTAAGATTAAAAATGTTATGGTCTAAAAATGTTATACAGGTTACCATTAAGAAATGGAGCAGTTAACATTATGTCTGCCCAATGTCAGATGAAATCTCCCTAGCAAACGTATTAGCAAAGAGAGTGCCACCTCTTTCAAGGAGGCTCAGAAGCATTATTTTATGAGGATGCATGGTTTGCTCCTTCAAGCTACCTCTGACCAAGCACTACCCCAGGTGCCAGAGACTTTCCATGCACAATTTCCCGTAATCATTGCTTTGACACCCTAACATCCCACTAAGGCCAAGAAAAACCTCTGGTACCCAGTGTTAGAAAATACCAGTAAGGAGCTGCTTCAAATTTACACTTCTTTTAGGACAGCTTATAACCCGTAAATATCAGTTTCCCCTTTGGGCATGTTAATGAGACAGACAAAGACAGGTCTCTTTCATCAGTTATGAGTTCAGGAAATAGCGTTACCACTGCTGCTGTCATGGCAGCCCATGCTAGGCTCTCAGTGTGGTATTTGAAGTGCTACACTACTTGTAGTAACTGCTACTCAGCCCAGTCAAAATGAGCTGGCAACTGGTGGTTTTGCTGGGTTCAGCAGATTTTTAGCGACACTTAGGATTAGTAGTATTAACAATTTATTTAATAAATAATTTAGGTCTTTGCTGGAAGCCTGTTTCTGTGGCTATCTTGCCTACTATATTATTTTGTAAAACATTGTGACTGGCCAGGCTACTATTACATTAACCAAAAAAAACACCTGGACGCAGGTTAACTATAACATTGCCTTCACCACTTGCTAAAACCTGAGGTACAGTGTCTCTAACACGTATGGGACGTATGGGACTTACGTTGACTTACGTTCTGTTGTGTTGTGTTGTGTTGTTGTGTTAGTAGTTAGATACCCTTTATTAAGTTATTATAGATAAAAATCATGTAATGCGCACTTGATCATTAATATAATATATATAAAAATAAAAGAATTAAATTATTATTATTATTGATGATTCCTAAATGTCATGACTACGATCATGATGAATGCTTAAGGGGGAAGGCGGTGCCCAACAAAGTTTTAGACAGGGAGGCTATGCCCCTAGGTCCAAACCCTTATCCTGAGTATATATACCGTTTACAACAGAAAAGATACCCCTTCCTTACCTTCTATTGACAAATGGTACCCCTTTCACGTATCTAGGTTAGAACTTTGCATACCCTTTTAATAACTGCTGAAAATGCACTGTAAATAAATAAATATGAATAAATCACCAAACCAGAACATTTTCTTGACTTTTCCACAGCCAAGTAACTTTTCATATCCCTTCCACCTGAAAAAGGTACCCCATTTGGGCGGAGCCTAGCCTCCCCATATAGGCCATAGGAAGCTGGGGCCCATCCTGAGGGAGTTCCCCCTCCCCACGCCCTTAAGAAGTCCCACCATGCTGTTAAGGCAGAGCTTCCGACGAGCCTCCTGACCTTTCTTTCCCCTTCTGAGAGTATTCGGTTGTTTCTGTCTACAAATTTCCCTCAAATGCTACATTGGTAACTCTACAATGAGCATTTATGCAAAACATGTGTTTAAGTTTGGCAATGTTTTATAGCCATTGACTGGCTTTAATTTTGTTCATAAATAACAAGGTCATTCTGCACGTTAGTGTAATTTCCCTACGCGCCCACCCGTCCTCGTACTTTAATTTTTCTTACCCCACACCCACCCATCAAGGTCAATGTCTAGATTCCCGAAATGCTATTCGGCCTAAAACCGGAAAACCATCAAAGATGGCGGATGATAATAAGGCTCCGGACGAAAGGTTCGACTTACTGGGGCAAACGATTGAACAGTTTGTGGAAACAACACGACAAATAGGGATTATTGTGAGTGACTTTCAACCAGGAAGCCAGGGAGTTCTTAATCAAAAAATGTAAGTGATCAGTCCAATCCTTCGACATGACACTGTTCGACGACGGTTTAAAGTGACATTAAAATGGCTTCAGTGGTTGACATCTTCTTAATATCTTTAACATCTACCGGCCCCATAAACGAGGAAATTAGCCTCCATACCTTTCGACTTCTTACCATGTTAGTATAGAGACTTTTCTCAATAGTTTCAGCTTTACACCGTTGCGCGTTAAAAGGATAAGTCTTTATTTCGGCTGATCTTCGATCGCGAGCCAGTCAACTGCCTTATAAATGATAGGCATATTGTACTTTTTTGTGGTAAGGATATTTCTTATTACGAGTGCGTACCATCTTTATGAAATAACCCAACAAGTTTGGCAATAATTGAAATGGAACAGTTCATCCTGGTCGATTTTTTTCGAAAGCATTAAAGGTAATAACTTCCTTCCGAGGTATTTGGCGCTTTCTATTCAACCAAATCTTCCGGTTTGAATTTCCGGCAACTTCCAGAAGCGAGTGGAACAGGCTTTTCTCGGGTTTGAGAAGGCCTACGGTTAAAAAAACGCTAGAATATTTTGGTTTTGGCCCTAGCCTGTTAAATTGTGTCAAGTGCTTTTACACCAATGCAGAAAGCTGTGTTCTAAACAATGGCTGGAGGAATAGCTTTTTCAATATTGAATGGGGACTGAGACAAGGATGTCCTCTTTTTATCCTTTCGGTAGAAATTCTAGCCAGGGTAATCACAGGCGTCCCATGAGCTCATGTTACGAGTGTGTTATGTAAATTAACTTTCTCACAAGAGAGTCTGTGTTGCGTTACAACCGACCATTGAGAAATAAAATACTGAGGTCTGCGAACGCTAAACATTATTCTTACTTATTTTTCTATAAAATATATAAAGGAGACTTACCTTTGATGTATTCCTGTGTTTTTTGGTGGGGATTCATCAATTTAGTCAGCCTTTTTGGCTGTTATTGTTTGACCCCTGTCACTCTCTTCATAATATATAGATTTAGCCAGGGCTAAAAGCGAAGCTCCCGTTAATAAATTCATAATTTAAATGAAACAATAAACTTGCAATCCACAGATCTGGGTACATTCATGTGACTTTTGAGGCAAAGGCTAAGTGATTTTAGAGAAATATAATTTGACAGTCCAGGAGTGAAACAAACTTTACATTGAGTTAGTAGTCTTATTTGTACACCCAAAAATAGCAATCATGTTCGATCACAGTAGATTAGACCTGGAAAGTGTATTATATTTGCATTAGCTGTTGCATCATAATGTGGCATTCACCAGTCTCTCCAACATTGCTCCGTTTGAGAGACTAATAATTGGACAACCCTGAAATATAATACTATGAAGGAACGGTGNGTAAATACGCTAACAGTGTTTCTCAGTTTTTGTTATATTTATAAAGATTTTGTTCGACAACTGAAGGCGTTTCCGCCGTCCTTCTGTCATTTTTGTGCCTGTGAAATGTCCCTGGGGTGGGGGCATTTGATCACCTGAATGGACCCCAGTGTGGCGCATTTGAACGGCGTTTTGTCCCGGGTAGGAGAGAATTTGAACAATAATTTTCAAAAAAGTCAAATGCCCAGGGGGTTGCCTGGGGGGGGCATGTTGAAGCTTCGATTTGACCGATACATTATGAGTGTGTTATGTAAATTAACTTTCTTACAAGAGAGTCGGTGTTGCGTTACAACCAACCATTGAGAAATAAAATACTGAGGTCTGCGAATGCTAAATATCATTATTCTTACTTATTTTTCTATAAACTATATAAAGGAGACTTACCTTTGATGTATTCCTGTGTTTTTTGGTATGGATTGATCAATTTAGTCAGGTTTTTTGGCTGTTATTGTTTGACTCCTGTCACTCTCTTCATAATGAAAAATGAAGAGAGTGACAGGGTCAAACAATAACAGCCAAAAAAACCAACTAAATCCATGAATCCACACCAAAAAACACAGGAATACATCAAAGGTAAGTTAGGTTAGAACTATCTGACTTACGCAACTGGAAATATCGCTAATTGAGAAAAACGCAGTTTTAGAAAGCTTAATAGTCTCTCAAGCTGTTTATGTTTCTATGCGTCCATGTGTAAAGGAAACAGTGATCAAAAATATACATGAGCTCTTCTATTTGTTTCTTTGGAGTGGAAAAAATGACAAAATAATAGGCGACATAATCATGATAAATAATCATGATATATAACTATACAGATGGCGGCTTCAAAATGGTTGATATTGAATCTTTTAACAAAGCCAAAAGGTGATATGTATTAAAAAAATTATTGTATCTGCTGGAAATTTTCCGTACCATTCGAGGCAGATTCCAAAAGTTCATAAGCTTTGGTTGAACAGAAAGCACCCATAATTTGCCTTTTTCTCACGTTTACTGAATTCCTGGAGATTTCCGTACCATTAACCAGTACCAAGCTATTTTCGAGGGAATAAGTTCAGAAAAAATTCTGAGCTCCAAACAAGAGTCAAACTCATAAACCTCTAATATTTCTCGATCCAATGCTCTTACCATGGCCCTACTGGAACTCTATGACAGGCAGGGTCAAANGATCAAAAATATACATGAGCTCTTCTATTTGTTTCTTTGGAGTGGAAAAAATGACAAAATAATAGGCGACATAATCATGATAAATAATCATGATATATAACTATACAGATGGCGGCTTCAAAATGGTTGATATTGAATCTTTTAACAAAGCCAAAAGGTGATATGTATTAAAAAAATTATTGTATCTGCTGGAAATTTTCCGTACCATTCGAGGCAGATTCCAAAAGTTCATAAGCTTTGGTTGAACAGAAAGCACCCATAATTTGCCTTTTTCTCACGTTTACTGAATTCCTGGAGATTTCCGTACCATTAACCAGTACCAAGCTATTTTCGAGGGAATAAGTTCAGAAAAAATTCTGAGCTCCAAACAAGAGTCAAACTCATAAACCTCTAATATTTCTCGATCCAATGCTCTTACCATGGCCCTACTGGAACTCTATGACAGGCAGGGTCAAATCCACTGATGTTGCTTTTCTGGTACATTTCATTTTTCTTTTGTTCTAAAACATGGTACAGCAACCATTCTAAAATGGAATAATTCCATTTAGAATGGTTGCTGTATGTCTCAAAGAATTACTCTTTAAGACATATTTTTCCAATCGTTTACAAAATCTCAGTGAATTCTCACTTTATGCCATAATCATTGTGCTAGGGAAAAACAGCCATTCCTTAGATGTTTCCCTTTACTGCCCCACATTGGCAAATTTATTATGAATACACCTTATTATGGGAGGAAATTAATGATTCATAAAATTAATGCAATTTAAGTCGTGTTGATTTTTGTAAAGATTACTTCCTTGACATTAATTAAGTGAAGTGTTATTAAATTTCTGCGACCTTAATTTCCATTTTTTTGGCCCCAAATTCTTGATACACTTTTGAAATACTTGATGCTCGTAAGAGGAGTATTTCATCAGGGTGGAGATCTACCAGTATCAGGGAAACTGTGAATAACCCTCAAAGTGGCCAGATTTCTTCACTCAAGCACTTTGTAGTGTATGGAAAGTACCACGAACAAAGTTTCTATTTCAAATTATAGGTTTAACTTTTTCTCTGTTATGTCACCAAGTTTTGTTTTTTGGGAAATGTCGCATTAATTTCCTTCAAGTTGAAATGTTACCCTCTCTTTCGTGTCAATTTCATTTATTCAAAATTTGTTTTCCAGTAAATTGGCATTAATTTCCAATATCTTATTTTTATGTAACATTAATTTCCTATAATAAGGTATAGATGATATCCTGTGTCCTCAGAGTGTCCTTATTGGGTTTTAGTAAAATCCAGCTAGTGGTCTATTATCAATGCTGCATTCTGATTGGCTGAGCTACAACTAGGCTATATGTTATAGCCCACTAGTAGCAAAAGCGCTGGCTTTTTGGCGGCAAAAAAGGATTAAAGTGTAGCTTTAACTAGCTAAAAGTTTTTTATTCTGGATATTTTTGACCAACTAGTCGGATTTTACTAAAACCATTATTCCTTTCGCCCTCATGGCCTCCGAGTCAATAGCCCATTCGGCCTTCGGCCTCAAGGGATATTGACTCAGAGCCCAGTCGGGCTCGAGGAATAATTGTTAAATACCACCTTGATAATAATGATAATATTGTGGTTAGGTCACTTATTTAACTATTGTTTTTTCTTTAGAAATGCAATGATTGACAACATGAGGGAAATTGAAAAGTGCAAAGCTCATGTTCAAGATGTTGAAGTCCCATTAGAAGTGTTCGAGTAAGTACTGTTACTTCCCCTCAATCCAAATATGTTTTGAACTCAAAAGGAGACAGTTTTATGAGCCATGTTCAGCCCTAGTGTGCATTTCTCAAAACTCCTGAAGAGGTTTTAGGCCTGGAAAGTGATTTTTCTCATCTACGTCGTATCAGCCCAGGGATGTTTTTTGCAATGTAGGCAAACATATCCCTTGATCTTGTAAAGTTTTCAAATTTTTCCCTTTCAGGACCAAAGTTGCTGTAGTGTTTTTAAGAAATGCATACAGAGTTTCACAGCACCTTTTAATGCGTGAAAGTATGAATGGTCTGAAAAGGATTATAGGACACAATACTCATTTTGTCAGCCTGTTTTACAAGTCTGAAACTATGTACAACTCTTTAAAAAAGGAACTTTGGGATCTGGTGGTCCAGATTCAAGACATGTCACCACGTGAAGCCATGAAAGGATTCAACCCATGAGTCATTTCACATGTATGTTGAGTATTATCATCTGGGTGAAGGTAGTCTTGAATAGGAGTGTTGTTGACAGTGACTGACATTTCAACAAGCTGTGCGGTAGTCATCTTCAGCTAGAGTCAAAGTGACTTGTCGCCATGTTGTTTTAATCTTAGACAAGGAACTTCTGCTGTCAAAAATGCAATAACTAACTCATGTTTCCTAAGAAGAATCACTCCTTAATTTTCATTCTCTGAAAATATATATCACTATTATTATTATTATTAATTGTTACCTCACTCTGCCAGTTCACTTGTTTCCTTATTGTATTAACAATGTTCTACTGCGTATTTGAATGTGTGCAGGTACATTGATCAAGGAAGGAACCCTCAGTTGTATACAAAAGACTGCATAGAAAAAGCACTTGAAAAGAATCAGCAAGTAAATGGAAAGATAGATGCGTATAAGGTGGGTGTACATAGTTTCACATCAATGTGGCATGAGGAAACAGCCAACATTTCATGATGCCACCACTGGTTGCCCAGTGAAATGATGTCTGAGCAGGGGCAGATCTAGGGAGAGGGTGCAGGGGGTGGGTACCCTCCCCAGCAATACAACCAGTATTCTACAAATAAAAAAAAATTTCTAGGGTATTGGTGTTGAAGTAAAACATGAGACGAGGTTGAAGAAGAATATTATTAAAGGCTGTGAAAATGTCAGTTTGGCACTGTAGTCTGCTGTATTGATATGTATTGTCAGAAGTTGACAATATTATATTGCCTAGACAAAAGCCTTCTTCTTCATATTCCTTTTTTTTTGTCACGCCATTCCTAAGTGGTGCACCCACTCCTAAGAAGAATCGTCGATCCTTCCCTGCTCAGGAACTAGTGCAGAAATTCCAATATGATATTGCCTAGACAAAAACCTTCTTCATATTCGTATTCTTTGTCACACCATTCCTAAGTGGTGCACCCGCTCCTAAGAAGAGCCGTGGATCCTTCCCTGCTCAGGAACAAGTGCAGAAATTCCAATACGATATTGCAGAGACAAAAGCCTTCTTCTTCATATTCGTATTCTTTGTCACGCCATTCCTAAGTGGTGCACCCGCTCCAAAGAAGAATCCTGGATGCTCCCCTGCTGAGGAACAAGTGCAGAAATTCCATACTGATGATGTGTCATAACCAGATCTGGTTATGGTACTGTGCTTCTGATTGTTCATACTATGAGGACAATTTGCTTCAACCCATCAGAAGCACCTCTCAGATCTGGGTAGTGAGACGTCATCAGTATGGAATATTTATGTGTACTCATTCTTCAGATGTCATTTTGCTGGGAAACCAGTGTTGGCATCACAAAATGTTGGCTGTTTTCCCAGGGTAACAGTTGTGTTGTTGAATAGCCTGCGTAGCAGGTGCTAGGAATAAATGGGCTCAGGTGTCTCCTTCGTGTGCCCCATTCTTTCTTGCACCCTTCTATTCCTAGCGCCTGCTATGCAGGCTAGTTGTTGAACTTAAAATAAAACTTAAACAAGTGCATGGGATAAGGCCTTTAATGACATTGATCTTATGTCAAATTCCTTCTCTATTTTACCATCAAATACAGTCAAACCTCTACTAAATGCTATCTCTCCACAACAACCTCTTTTGTGGTCGTTGTGGAGAGGATCGACTGTACACAGAAGTAGGAAATGAGATTCAAGCAATTGTTCAGAAAACAGTTAGGACTTTTCCAGTCACCTTTTCATTCAAAATAAAAATTAATAATATTTGTTACTATCCCCCTTAATTCTTTCAGATTGTTGAATTATTCACCAATCTATTTGTTCTGCCTTAAATTTCCATAATCAAAAGTTTGGAGTTACAGCTGTATTTGATTTATCACTGGCTGGTTCCAGCTTCACAGACCTATGGCTACCACCATATCCATATTTCTTCCTTCACTTATTTTCTTTTAGAATTTCAAGTCACTCTTGGTGGATGAACTTTCAAAGCATTTTCCGTTCCTTTAGCTACTTATGGTCTTCTATTTTCTTTCTGTCAGTTTCTGCACACTGTTGCCCGTGTTCAGAAAACCTCTGTGCATTTTTGTAAATATGTAAATAAAATGTTAATTTATATAAAGCAGATGATGTAATGTTTCATAGAGGTTCTTAAATAAAAAATGCATTTCTTGAAGTTTATGTGTTTTGTGAAACTTTAGCTAAAGCATTATTCTTTTCTGGGGGATTAATGGGTAAGGTTTCTTGGTAACTGACCCCACTCTTCCCCTTAATCAACATTTAGACTTGCTCCTCGTTTAGAGCAAAATTGTGACGTAATGCTAGTTCAGCTTGGAACGCTTATACCACAGAGGGAGTTGAGACCGTTGAATCGGTTCAAAGGGCGAGCAGCCAAATTTGTTTGAACGACTAACAGAGATCCATAATTGTGTCTTCATTAATTAACAAACTTAACCGGTGTTCCCTGCTACAGCAAAGAACACTTATTGATTTTTCTTTCTGTTTTTTTAAGATCTAGTATAATTTATTCCCTTTGTCCTTTCCCAGCGCCTAGTTGATTGTCTCTTAACACCTGCTGTACTAGGAAGTCCCATAGTATGACATACAACCTTTTACCCGCTTTTGGTGATGCCTACGAGTACTCTTTTGTGCCTGATATACTGTATTTCGTCGAATAATAGCCGGGGGCGATTATTCGAGGGGGGCGATTATTTCAAATATTGCTCACTGCAAGTCGGGCCCTAAATATTTTGTTTTATTTACCCATAAAATGAAAAAAAATCACATCAAATAAACTGGACATGGGCTTTTTGAGTGTTCAAATTTTAGTTCCTTGATTAATTTACCGAGATTGAATCGTCACAGATCAGCTTTGCTGGATCACACTGTACTTCAACTTGACAGGGAGGTAATAATAGGAAGAGAAGATGGCGAGAGGGGTGGGGGGATTATTCAAGGGAGGCAATTATTTTAGATATTTCCATGACGGCTATTTTTCGAGGAAATACGGTATACCTATGTGGAAGGGTCTTTCATCTAGTGCTGGTATCGCTCCGACTTTGCCGGTGTTGAAGTCCACAGTCAAAAGCTATCTGTCATCGCCTAGCGCCTAATTATTGACATAATTTAAGAAATATACGAGCATTACTAATAATAGCGTGAGCTACTTCTGCAAGCACAATCTAGCAAAACCTACATCCGGGTAATCCTGGTTATCCCGTTCATTACATTCATCCTACTCTTCCCAACCATCTCATCCTAGCAATAATATTTATCTCCCTATATAGCCTACGTGTAGCTACACCCTCCCCCCGACAAAGGAAAAACGGAGAAGGGAGGAAAAACTTTTTTCTCAATTTTTTTCCTTTTCATTGGCCGAGACCCCACTACGTGACCTGTGAATAACTGCCTACAAATAATGGTCTGCTCATGCGCAATGTCGTCAATCTTTGTTTCACCACCTTGCACCAACTTGTACCAAAATGCACCGCCTTGCACCAAATTGCACCAACTCGCACCAAACTCACCAACTTGCACCAAACTGAACCGCCTTGTACCAAACTGCACCAACTTGCACCAAACTGCACCTAGCTACACCAACTTCCACCAAGTTACACCAAACTGCACCAACTGTACAACCTTGCACCAAGTTCCACCACCTTGCACCAAAGTGCACCAACTTGCATCAAGTTGTACCACCTTGCACCAAAGTGCACAAAACTGCACCAAGTTGAACCACCTTCCATGAAACTGCACCAACTTACACCAAACTGCGCCAACTTGCACCAAGTTGCCCCACCTTTCACCAAAGTGCACAAACTTGCACTATACTGAACCAACTTGTACTAAACTGCACCTAACTACGCCAACTTGCACCAAAACTGCAACAACTTGCACCAACTTGCACCAAACTGCACCAATGTGCACCAAGTTGCACCATCTTGCATCAAACTGCACCAAACTGCACAAACTTGTGCCAATTGAACCAACTTGTACCAAACTGCACCAGCTTCCAGTACGGTGCACCAAACTGCACCAAACTGCACCAACTTGTGCCAAACTGAACCAACTTCTACCAAATTCCACCTGCTTTCACTAAGGTGTAAAAACCTGCATAGGAGTGCACTAAAACTGCACCAAATTGTGCCAAACTAAGCCAACTTGAACTAAACTGCACCTTACTCCGCCAACCTACACCAACTTGCACCACCTTGCGCCAAAGTGCACCATGTTGTACCAAGTTGAACACCTTGCACCAAAGTGCACCAACTTGCACCAAAGTGCACCAAGTTTAACTACCTAGCACCACAGTGCACCAACTTGCACAAAGTGCCCAAATTCCGCCAACTTTTGCCAAACTGAACCAACTTCTAGCAAACTACACCAGACAGCAGCACCTTGAACCAAGGTGCACCACCTTCCACCAAAGTGCAGCAAAGTGCATCAAACAACACCAACTTGCACCAAGTTGCACCAAAGTGCACCAACGTGCACCAAGTTGCACCAAAAAACACCAACTTACACCAAACTGCACCAAGTTGCACCACCTTGCACCAGACTGCACCAACTTGCACCAAGTTGTACCAAAGTGCGCCAACTTCCGCCAACCTGCACCACGTTGCACCACCTTGAACCAAACTGCACCAACTTACACCAAACTACACTAACTTGCACCAAGTTGCACCAAAAAGCACCAAAGTAAACCAAACTGCAACAACTTGCACCACCTCGCACCAAAGTGAACCAACTTGCACCAAACGGCAACAACTTCAGCCAAGAAGCACCAACTTGCACCAAACTGCACCAAGTTGCACCAAGGTGCACCAACTTCCACCAGAGCGCACCAAACTGCACCGAGTTGCACCAAAGTGCACCAACTTGCACGAAACTTAACCAACTTGTACCAACTACACCAACTTGCACCACTTTGCACCAAAGTGCACCAAACTGAACCAAGTTGCTCTAAGTTGCTCCAAAATGCACCAACTTGTACCAAAATGCACCAAGTTGCACCAAGTTGCACCAAAGTGGGCCAACTTTCACCAGACTGCACCAAGTTGCACCACCTTGCACAAACGGCACCAACTTCACCGAAGTTGCGCCAAACTGCACCAACATGCACCACCTCGGGCCAAAGTGCACCTACTTGCACCACATTGTGCCAAACTGAACCAACTTGTACCAAACTACACCAACTTGCACCACCTCGCACCAAAGTGCACCAACTTGCACCAAACTGTAACAACTTGCACCAAGGTGCATCAACTTGCACCAAACTGCACCAGGTTGCACCAAGTTTCACCTCCTTGCAACAAAACGCACCAAACTACACCAAGTTGCAACACCTTGCACCAAACGGCACCACCTTACACCAAACTGCAACAACTTGCACCAAGGTGCACCAACTTGCACCAAAATGCACCAAACTGAATTAAGTTGCACCAAGTTGCACCACTTTGCACCAAACGGCACTAACTTACACCAAACTGCACCAACTTGCACAAGGTTGCACCTCCTTGAACCAAAGTGCACCAAACTTCACCAAACGGCATCAACTTGCACCAAGTTGCACCAAGTTTAGACCAAGTTACACCAAAGTGTGCCGACTTGCACCAAACTGCACCAAGTTGCACCAACTTGCACCATCTTGCACCAAAGAGCACCACCTTTCACCTAAGTGTAGTAACGTGCACCAGGTTGCACCACCTTGCACCAAAGTGTACCAAACTGCTTCAAATTGCACCAAGTTGCGCCACCTTGCACCAAACGGCAACAACTTGCACCAAAGTGCACCAAACTGCACCAACTTACTCCAAACTGCATCAACATCCACCAAGTTGCACCAAAGTGCATCAACTTGCACCAAACTGCTCTAACGTGCACCAAGTTGCACCAAAGTGCGCCAACTTGCACCAAATTGTGCCAAACTGAACCAACTTGTACCAAACTTCAACAACTTACAGAAAACTGCAACAACTTCCACCAAGGTGCACCAATTTGCACCGAAGTGCACCAAACTGCACCAAGTTGCACCAAGGTACACCAACTTGCACCAACTTGCATTAAGTTGCACCACCTTACACCAAAGTGCACCAAACTGCATTAAGTTGCACCAAGTTGCACCACCTTGCACCAAACGGCACCAACTTACACCAAACTGCACCAACTTGCACCTCCTTGCATCAAAGTGCACCAAACTGCACCCACTTACACCAAACTGCACCCACTTGCACCAAGTTGCACCAAAGAGCACCAACTTACACCAAACTGCGCCAAGTTGCACCACCTTGTACCAAAATGCACCAACTTACACCAAACTGCACCAGCTTGCACCAAGTTGCACCAAAGTGCGCCAACTTGCACCAAACTGCACCAAGTTGCACCACCTTGTACCAACCTGCACCAACGTACACCAAACTGCCCCAACTCAGACCAAGCTGCACCAAAGTGCACCATATTGCACCATATTGTGCCAAACTGGACTAACTTAAACCAAACTACACTAACTTGCACCAAACTGCAGCAACTTGCACCAAGGTGCCCCAAGGTGCTCTAAAGTGCACCAAAGTGCACCAAGTTGCACCAAGATTGACCAACTTGCACCACTTTGCCCCAAAGTGCACCAACTTGCACCAAGTTGCACCACGTTGTACCAAACTGCTCCAACTTACACCAAAGTGCACCAACTTGCACCAAGTTGCACCACCTTGGACCAAAGTGCACTAACTTGAACCAAAACTGCACCAAGTTGCACCTCCTTGCACCAAAGTGCACAAACTTGCAGCAGAGTGCACCAAACTGCACCAAGTTGCACTACCTTGCACCAATCTGCACCAACTTACACCAAACTGCACCAACTTGCACTAAGTTGTACCAAAGTGCGCCAACTTGCACCAAACTGCACCAAGTTGCACCAGCTTGTACCAAACTGCACCAACTTACACCAAACTGCACCAACTTAGACCAAGCTGCGCCAAAGTGTACCAACTTGCACCAAGTTGTGCCAAACTGGGCTAACTTGTACCAAACCACACCAACTTGCACCAAACTGCAACAACTTGCACCAACGTGCACCAAAGTGCACCAAATTACACCAAGGCTCACCAACTTGCACCAGACTGTACCAACTTGCAGTAAACTGCACCAACTTGCACCAAGTTGCTCCACCTTACACCAAGTGCACCAACTTGCACCAAAGTGCACCAAACTACATCACCTTGCACCAAGTTTGACCAAAGTGCACCACTTTGCACCAAACTGCTTCAAGTTACACCATCTTGCACCAAAGTGCTCCAACTTGCACCAAAGTGCACCAAACTGCACCAAGTTGTGCCAAACTGAACCAACTTGTACCAAACTACACCAACTTGCATCACCTTGCACCCAACTGCACCAACTTGCAACAAGTTCGATTACCTTGCACCAACATGCACCAACTTGCACCAAAGTGCACCAAACTGCACTGACTTGTACTAAACTGCTCCTAATTACGCCAACTTGCACCACCTGGCACCAACTTGCCCCAAACTGCATCAACTTGTACCAAGTTGCACCAGCTTGCACCAACCTGCACCAACTTGCACCGAAGTGCACCAAGTTGTACCAAGATGCACCACCTTACACGAAAGTACAGCAACTAGCACCAAACTGCACAAACTTGCAACAAGTTGCACCACCTTGCACCGAATCGCACCAGTTTGCACCAGAGTACACTAACCTGCATCAAATTGCACTAAACTGCACTAACTTGTGTGAAACTGAACCAACTTGAACTAAACTGCACTTAACTACGCCAACTTGTACCAAATTGCACCAACTTGCACCACCTTGCATCTTGGTGCACCAACTTGCACCAAACTGAAACAACTTGCACCAAGTCTCACCACCTTGCACCAAATTGCACCAATTTGCACCAAACTGCACCAACGTGCACCAACCTTTTTTTGGCTGCAAATAATATTCGGCTCATGCGTAAATGAAACCAATCTTTTCTTCTTCTTGCGATCGCAAGAAAATGGGAGATGGCTTCGCTTTCCAAAGATTCTTTAAATTATAAACTTTGTGACGCAATGATAAAACAGTTATTGAATTCGGTTATCGCAAAATATCGTGATTTGTCAGTGTTGATCTGCTCGCCAGTGACAAATTACGATACTCTGCTTAACCTTGTCCAACAATTGTTAAATATTTAGCCGCATATGAGTGAAATGGTATCACGTTCGACAATGCCTATTTTTTAGATTATTTAGCCGCAGATGAGTGAACTGAGGTCACGTTCGACCACGCCTATCTGAGAAGTAACTGGTGCAATAATTTGTAATTTTTTAAAGTTATTTGTGAAATCGTGGATTATAAGAACGGCGCTACAGGAAAAGACAGCGGCGCAAACGTGTTGAAGAGAAACAGAAATAGACCCAAACGAGTTGGGATGTGACAACAAAGATGACACATTGTCTGTTATTAATGTTTCTATTCAGAGATTTTTACAGTATCCAGATGAACCTTCATAGAACCATATGGGAAGAATTATCAAGCAGATGCTGATGCATTAGACAAGAATTTGGTTCAAGACAGAGGAGAAGCTGGTCTCAGTAAACTTCCTTGGTGAATTAAATGTTTCACAAATAAGCATATCAACAAAGGTAGTATCCACAAAATGGCATGATTTAGGAATAAATGCAATTTTTTTGCAACAGAAGCCAGGATTTATTTACTGAGGTGTATTGATAACGTTTTATTTCGAGCTATTTTGGGGTCGGGGAGTTAGGCCAGATTTTTTTAAAAACACTGAAATGTTATGTTTATTTGTATAATCAAATATAAACAAACAGTGTACCATCAAAATAAGGTGGAAAAAAATCAGAATTCAAACAGACTGCTGTGAGACCCTGTGATTTTTAGCCGTTGTATACCTAGATGATAAAACTTTATTATTTTCAAAACACAATGTTACTGGCAACATTGCATTTGCATTAAATTTGTAGTTGAAGTGCGTGTATTTTATTTCTCAACGAAGACGCACCGGTAAAGAAACCTAAAATTACTGCAGAAAGAGATTTTTCACAGCCTACATAAAAGCACATTAACTTAATGTGGGGAGAAGGCAAGATTTCGAGATAAACAAGCCAGCGAAAGGGTGAAAATGTAGTTTCACGGCAAAATGGATACTTAATTAACCACTGTTTTCCTGAAACGAATAAGTTAAATTTTAGCGTCATACTGTCGAGAAGAATTAAATATCTATAGAATAATTGTTCAACGAAAAATTATCATACTGACCTTTTCCTGCTGCTCAAAAAATGTGCGCGAAATGATAGCTGGTCGTCAAAAACATTCAGCCGCCATCTTGTCTTCAATTTACTGTTTTACGAAAGAAAAGACTGTTCTCTGAAAGGCTACAGCGAGGCTACAATAAACTGACTTTCATCGTAGAAATGCCTCGATACCTTTAAGAACACACTTGTTGAACGTAACACCTAATATAGGTCATTCAACTCCAGGAAACAGCCTGAAGCCCTGCAAATGCTGGTAGAGAAGGTAAACCATTCATAGGAAATGCCACTTTAACGAACAAGGAAACAAGGGCTAAAACCTTGAAAGAATTTAAACGCTGTCTTGCAAAATTTGGTACTGATAAAATGAATTTCGAACCTATTTTAGCTACAACTAAAAATAGAGATATCGGTTATGAATACTTTTAACGGTTTTAATTTTCAATTCTACATTTTCACAACCTATTTCAGCTACAAGTATTGAAAAACTGAAATATCGGTTACAAAAATTTTCAGTACTCCTTATTTTTTATGTAATTGTTGTATGCATGACCCCACCAGCGATGCTGATCTTTTTGTCGTGCTAAAATAAAGTTCTTTCCTGCTTTCCTTTCCTTTCCCTTCCCCCGTGAAAACTTCATTCCCGTCCCCAGAGCTACTCGGCTTAATTTGTAACGAACACGTGACCAAGAAACTGTGGGCTCTGGGGACGAGATGGTGGCGCTTCAAGAGACCATTATGACGCATGCACATACAAAATGTCCTCCTGCGAACCTGCGTGGCAGAACACATGCACAGAGAATTACTAGTTCAATTCTGGAACAGTGCCAAAAGCTGCGATAGAACTGCTCATCCGAAACGCATGAGAAATTACAGTGATTGTATGAGAATCTAATGTCGAGTAATTTCCGTAGAACGGCTGTTCTGAAAAAAATATGATTTGTAAACTAAAGCTTCACTCCTAAGGATTCTCCTGAAAAAATCTGAGGGCGTTCCATGCACTAGAAGGCCTAGAACCACTTTTTAAAATTTTCTATACATTTGTCTGTAAGAAAGTCCCGCGAAAATTACTGACAAATATATGGAAAATCTAAAGCAAGCCTCTGGAGAAATTTAAGTACAGGTACACCCCCCAATTTTTTTAGGACAATCCTTTGCTTTGTAGCTTTAGTTTACAATTGATATTTTGTTCAGAACAGCCGTTCTACGGAAATTATTCGACATTAGATTCTCATACAAACACTGTAATTTCTCACACGTTTGCCTAGTCGTCAAGATGGCGTCGAAAACCGTGACAAGGTCTATTAAAATTAACAGCAACATCGTATACCAAGCAAAACTTGTTGCAACCATTTTGTTATGGTGTTCTTCTGTGCGTGTAAATTTCGGCGGATTTACTCCAGAGCCCGGGGGGTGGGGAAAGTCAGGAAAAAAACGTCCTTAAAGTTGTGCTGGGAAATTTCGTGCCAAAAGAGTCGTGCCAAAAAAATCGTGACAAGTAAATTGGAGTCGGCAGTAAAAGAAACTTGATGAGAAATTAGGTGGCACTAACTGGGCTCCGTACGTTTCAATCTAAAAGCCCACTATCCAGTGAAAAATGGCTGCGATTCTCGCAAAAGAAGGCCACTACTTGGCTACAATGGAAGCATTTCTAAGTTCCTTGGAAGCAGCCGAAAAGAGGTTTGACTTCGTTGAAGAGATGGTAGCCCACGTCATGAAAAATATGTTCAAAGGTGGCCGTAATGCTACGGTAGTTTCGAAAACGAAGCACTCGAAAACGAAGACCGAAGCACGAAGCACCCAAATCTCGAAAACGAAGCACCCTAGATCGAAAACGAAGCACCCTAGATCGAAAACGAAGCACCCAAAACTCGAAAACGAAGCACCCAAAAACTCGACACCGGTCTGTCCTTTATAAACACGAGACCAATGTAAATACAGCAGAAATCAAGCGCGATAACGAGTATTGGATAACGAATCGAATGCAGTTGAAATCTACTCAAGTTGTAAATGCATTTCCGCCGCTGCGTGGGAGGCCCGGTGGGAGGCTATGTTTTGGACGTGATCAGAAAACTGAGAACGCCCAAACTATTTCTAGAATATTACTGTATTGCCGTATTACTGTATTGCAAGTATCCCCGTACAAAATGATGAGCGTTTTCTATTCCATTCCTCGTTAAAGGCCATTTGCAAATTAGTGTAGTTAAGGGTGGATCGGTGGCATAAAAAGCATATCTTCAGGCTTCGCCCCACCGACCTCCTTCTCAGTAGCTTAACTCTCCTTTTTTTATTCGCTCCTTTTATTTCAAAATTCTCCTGTTCCCCACCATAGAGCCTGATCCCAGGCTATTACCCTAGAAAAAATTCTGCCTGGATCTGATCTGATCTGATCACGCAGTGTCAAAAATATCCGATATGGTAGACTGCAAAACAGTGGTTTTTTTTCTCAAAATCAGTAAAGAAGTCGGTAAAGCGTGGCGTAAGAGTAATACGCGCGAGCCTCACACTCCGTTTCCAGCCTCGTTTCAGACCTTTTGTGTTACTGCTCACGCGTACTTGAATACGCCAAAATCTGCTGACGGACAGTTTTTCAAGTCTACATAAACATGCATGTGTACCGAAAAAACGCATATTAAGGTAAGATGTATCAAGTATAGCGAGACCAATAATAAAATTAATACACTATATCCCATCTAGAAACGTTCAGTTAAACAGTTGGCAGGCTCTTATAAAACCTTTGGGTGGATTTTGTGGACCTTTGGAGGTGCGGACGCATCCGCTGCCTCCACCTGATTCGGATTGCGTCATGCAAGACGTACAGCCTACAGTGGTTTCGAGTTTTGGGTACTTCGTTTTCGAGATTTGAGTGCTTCGTTTTCGAGATTTTGGGGTCTTCGTTTTCGATCTAGGGTGCTTCGTTTTCGAGATAGGGTGCTTCGTTTTCGATCTAGGGTGCTTCCTTTTCGAGTTTTGGGTGCTTCGTTTTCGAAGGTTTAGGGTGCTTCGTTTTCGAGATTTAGGGTGCTTCGTTTTCGAGATTTGGGTGCTTCGTTTTCGAGTTTTGGGTGCTTCGTTTTCGAGTTTTGGGTGCTTCGTGCTTCGGTCTTCGTTTTCGAGTGCTTCGTTTTCGAAACTACCGTAATGCTACCCCGTTGTTGCGTGTTCTTGGAGTTGGGAGTGGTGATGGGCAAATTGATTTAAGAATTCTGGATGTCATTTCATCGGCGATAGGATGTTCTAAGATACACGCCACCATTTTAGAGCCTGATGTTGAATTAATGGCGAGATTCAGGTCGCGTGTTTCACCGTCTCCCGAGAAACTCGAGGGAAAGGCTACCTTCGAGTGGCATGAGATGACCTTAGAGAAATTCATGGAGTCTAGCCCTCAGATCCAACAGTTTGACCTCATTCATTTCGTGGCATCGCTGTACTACATGGATGCTGAACAAGCTCTAAGAAACTGTTACTCGAGACTTGCCCCAGGTGGAGCCATCTTCTGTACTTTAGTTGCCGAGGAGTCTTTCTTCTCAAAGTTGGCAAGAAAATTGAAAGGTAAAATTAACTTGGGTTCGATTAACAAGTTTTACACCGAAGTGGATATTGAGAGCATTTCTAAGAGGAACAACTGGAACTATGAAGAATTAAAGAAATGCAGCTCTGATGCAGATATAACCAGCTGTTTTGATCACTCGTCTACAGCAGGGGGTCTTCTCCTGGACTTCTTAACCCACTGCCAAGATTTTAGAGGCACAGTGGATAAAATGTTGTTTAAAGAAGTGATGAATTTTTTGGAGGAACAGTCCTTTACTGACGATAGTGGAAGGAAAATAATAAAACCTCAACGTATTGCAGCTGTAATTTACAAATAACATTAACCTATTAATCATTGATTACAGTGCTTATCGTGAGCCAAAATACTCTCCGAGACCTCCTGGAGTCACAAAACAGAAAACATTGAGTGACTCAGGCCTGAGTGGCCTTGCTGCAAAAGGAGACAGAATTAAAATGGCTTTTCTGGCTATAGTTCCATCGTGGTCGCATATCTCACAAAAGCCACTCTGCAGGCTACATTCTAACAGAGGTTTATTTACAAACCTAATGGCAGACACAATTGACTGTAAAAAAAACAGTAAAATTTATGCTGTTCGTCTTCAAAACAAACATGACAACCAAGCATAATTAAACAACTACAAAATTCTTGCTTTTAATCAGTAACAGACCTGTACATGTATAAAGATACAGTAAAAATTTAAAGATACCTTTTAATTAATTTCAATTATGACATGATCTATGCCATATGCTAATTAAGCAAGAGAAAAGCAATGTTAAGTTATAGCACCTTCACATTGGTCCAGTTAAAATAAATAACATGTTCTCTACATTGACACCTTGAAAATGCATTTTGTGGTAAATAAGAGTGTCTTGTATCAGGATTTTCCTGAGGAGTCCTGTCTCTATCATTTGGGGTAAGGGGGGGGGGGTGGGGGAGAGTAATAAGTCAAAGATCCCAAGTGACTCTTTAATCTGATAAATTGCTTGACTCTCCTTCAAATTGACCTTGTATGATTGTGAATACAGGGTTTTCCTTTTCAAACCAAGCAGCTGGTGAATTTCTTTAGTAGGCGAAGACAATCTTCATGTACAAGGCACATTTGAGTGCCAAAGACGGCAAGGCGTTGCTTAGTTACCAGCAACGGGCCTCTTCACAAGGGACAAATGTCACTAGTTGCAGGCTGAAAAGGAAAACCCTGTGAATAATAATAATGGATAATTCAAAGTTTGATCGGGAATGACTTGGGAGCTTATTCCATGCACTCTGTTTAGTTATGTCTGGCAATCTTGATGGAGACCACTTTACAATGTACAACTAATCCATCATTGCAGATTTTATAACTTGTATAAGTCAATGACTTTGATTCTCTCTTCTATTTGATGTCAGGTAACTCCTTGGTAAATGCAGGCCTTCAAAAGGCTGCTGATAAAAATTATCCTTTAAATGCTTAGTTAAATGTGATGCATTCCCTTGTAGCTTGCACATCACATCAGCAAATAGCGTAAGTGCAGTCCTGACACATTCCATTGTAACATATACCTTTAGAAGGATACCCGTAATAAACCTTGAACAACTTGACAAATTTTAACAACTCAGTCAAATCTTGCATCTCACATCAGTACGCAACTTGAATGTGCTTGACACTGTCCTAGGAACATCACTATGTCCCACTAGAATTGAACACCATCAAACATTTAATACATGTCTATTGAAAAACTAACATCAGCTTGAAGGTTTTGATGAGGAACCTTCACAAAAGGCTTGTGGAAACAAACTAGCCTGTTCAAGTCCCTGTTTGGCCTGTTCAAATTCCGTGTTCAATATGCTTGTTGCGTGTTCCAATTCAGAGTTCAGTCTACTCGTAGCTTGTTCAATATTAGAAGCCAAATCTTGAACCTCTCTGTTGATTTTGGAAATCACCATTTCCATTGCTTGTCTGCCCTGCAAACAAACATCAAAAGCAAGATTCTTATCATACGATTTCACTTTTGTAATTTTTTGAAAAATAAATTCTTGCCTCTAAAGGTCTTAAAGTGAAATTATTACATTAATATTGCACAATGTATTGATGAAGCAAGTTATTAATTAACTAATGGGCAGGTGTAATTCATTAACAAAATAACATTTTTGTTTTTCAGTCTAGTTAAAATGAATCTTAGGCTAGTACATGCTAGCTACAGCTTTCCTTAAGTTTCTGTAAAACCTGTAAAGGGACTTCCTTTGCAATCTCAGGGGTTTATAGGTGAACAATGGAACCATTTAGCTTTTTACCTTTGATGCATTATTAGCCATTGTGGACCTAATAAGACTTTCACAGTAATCTTTGAAGCTGATCCTAAACACTTTTATTACAGCATCCTGAGTTAGTCTGGTCCTGGAAAAAAAATTGTAAATAATGTCAAGGAATTGTCATTGGATCCTTAATTTTTTTTCAAATATAATTTGTACCACAAAGGTTTAACATCATTTATATTAGAGGATACTTGAGGTAAAATTCAATAAAAACAATTTGACTTATAATGTGTAGTGTAAAACTGTTTTAGCAACTGCAATCAAGCAAAAGAAACTGTTCACATGTAATGCTACCCCTTGTGCAGCACTCTGACAAAAAATACAGTAATAGTGGGAGATGATGATGATGTCAGTTAACAACACTCTTTTTATCCTGATCCCTTAAACCAACTTCTTTTGTGTTTATGTTAATTGGCACTTGTTGCCTCATTCAAGTTAAATTCTCTTTTGAATATTATTCCATATATCCAATGAAATGAAGCCAAAGAGAGCCAGTTTACATAAATATTAACTATCAACAAAAAAGTTTTTAGGACCATTTTTGCCAAAATGTGTTATCGGTATTATTGAGCCATAACCAGTAGTCTATCGACTTCTTGGGGGTAAGAGACAGTTAGACTGTATTCGTGGTCATAGATATGGGTGAAGTGTCCATAACAGTGAACTAGAAATGGTATAACTTAATGGTTTCTATCATTAACACAGTCATCAAAATATTGTTTCACTTTCTCTTCTCCATGACTGTGCTATTTCTCCCCCAAACAGACACATATATATATGTTATAGTTAATTTTTCATCCCAGGTAATTTTATTCTTCTTTTGTTTCAACTTTATTATCATACAATACCATACTCAAAAACAAAAGAAAAACAAAAATTACCTGAGATAAATAATTAACGACAACATATATTAAAAACCCAGGGCCAGGGTCAGTTGTTTAATTCAGTCAAAACTCCCATAAGCGGCCACCCAAGTTACAAAGACTGAGTGGTCGCTTATGGGAAGTGGTCGTTTACAAGAATTGAACTGCAGGGGGCTCTCTTCCAAGAAGAGGTCCAGGCACATCTACTTTACGGAAGATAATACACAGCATGCAATGTCTAAGTTAGGATATGTGTACATGTAGTTCCATGTTGTCACTAAAGGTCTTCGTATATTCTTAGTAACATAGTGCACACAGCGAAAAGAGAAATCAGAGAATGCGTTAAGTGGTTGCTAACAAGAGGTAAAAAAAATGGAAAATGATTAGCCGTCAGGCCCAAAAAGTGGTAGAGGGTTGCTTACAGGAGGGGGTCGTTTACTAGAGGTTACAACCTGTAAGGCTTTGACTCGGAAAATGTTGGTGTTTTGGATTGGTGGTTGCTTATGGGAGGCAGTCGCTTACAACAGGTGGTCACACATGGAGGTTCGACTGTACAATTACTAAGAATCAAGGCACAGTGGAAATTAAATGTTGAAAACGTTTTCTGTCAAAAAAAGTTTCAAAAACACACAGGCTTTTGCCCACCTCAACTACGGTCTTCAAAGGGCAAAGTCACTTTGAGGCGTAATTGAGGCGGTCAAAAGCTTGTATATTTTTTAAAACATTTTTAGCCAGAGAACATTTTGAACACTGTAATACAATCAGTCCTGGCTGCATTCCCACTATCTTTTCACCTATGGAAATTGTCTGACAAAATGGAACAATTATTTAAACACAGTCTTAGCATTTTTACTACTCACTTATCATCATCTTCATGCTGAGAATAAGTCAGTGTTTCCTCCACATCCACCCAGCCTGACAAAGTCATGTTCCGACTCCCCATTATCATGGTTTTCTTCTCTGGATCAACAACAGAATGTTCATAGGCATAACAAGTATTGTTAATTCCAATCATGCTACAGACCCATGAGGGTAGGAATCCTTCGGTGCCAACAAGTCTTGTAGTATGAAGTCTTCCATGTTCATCCACATGCCGATCAAGCACATCCATGGTTTTGACATTTGGATTTAGATCATTAGGATACTTTCTCCAAACAGCTTGTGTGACCCGCTCCCAACAGTGACTAAAATGTAGCAAGAGAAACTAAGTTTTGAAAACTGCAATACTGTGGTCTATGAAGACTATATAAAGTTGAGTGCCAATTGGCTATGACTGTACATGTTGCAACCACTAGCAGTTTTGTTTGACCTCAAGTGCATAGTATATTCTTTTCCATTCAAGATCTGATTCATTGCTGATTATACCAGTATTGCTGGTTTTCAGTGTTACGCCATCCAAAATAGATCAAAATCAAAATCAAAACCGTTCAATAGATAACGTTCGGAATATGGGAATTGAAAGGAGGTAAAATAATATACAAAGACCCTCGCCAAGATTCAGGCCAGAAGAATATTCTGTATACGAGATATCCGAAGAAATGTTTTACCCAAATTTAAAGAGATTTGTATGGAGATGCCATGCTGATGCCCACCTGGATGGGCACCAACATGGCAGACGGAAACTAACAAAACATCTGTTACCGAGTTTTAGTACAAAAGCGTGAATTTATCCCTCGAGGAACTCACAAACATTAAAGTAATACTTTTTTTAATACATCAACTGTTTAGATGGCAAAATTCCCCATAATAAGTCACTTTTTTAACCTAAATGACAGCTNTGGCTCCATGTGCGCAGTCGCAGGAGTGCTTACTCTTGCCTTACCAGTCCCAGTTATTGTGTCAAACTTTAGCTATTTCTACACCTTGGACAAGGAAAAGAGGGCCCTGTATGAAGAGGATTCCAAGGTTACTATATCACGGGAGCAATCGTCTGCATCCACATCTTAACTGAGTCATTTTTTAATGCACAGAACACAGGGTGGGTCTAGAGGGTTTCTTGGGGTGCCAGTGCAGGGAACTTCTGATCCCCTCCAGATAAAACTTCCCCCTTGTTACCCAAATATTCCCTCTTCACTTCAATACAAACTTTGTATGCCAGGTGAACACTTCCAGTTAAAAACAGATCCTACCCTGCCGTGATGTGGCAATGAATTAATAGTGAGCTAAAGCAAAAACATTTTTTAAGAGAGTCACGTCAAAGGGAGTAGTCTTTTTGTTTGCCCAAATTTTCGGATGAAATCAGAGTCTCTATGTTACATAAATGTACTGCTAAACAAACTAAGCCAAGGGCGCTTTCCATTTGTCAGAACTGACCGGCAAAACCATTCCTTTCGTAATGAGAATTTCACTTTTAATCAAAACTATCCAGCAAGATCAGTCAACTCCTTAAAAGTATGCAAGAAGGAGATGGTTTTCAGCAGAAACCCTTTGGAAAAAGCCGATTTCATTCGCTAACTGACTGGTCCAGCAATGGTCCGGCCGGCCAGTTTTGAAAGCGGTTGAAAACGTCGATCAAAACGCCTTTGCTTAAACTCGCTAAAGAATGATAATTAACTATATTTATGACTAGTTGCAACAAACTATATTACAACCATTTAAAACTATTATAACTAAAACCAAAATTTGGATACTTCGTCATAAAAAAATCCAGTTATCAGAGTGTTCCCTCGGCTCACAGCCTCTCAGGAACTATTTAAAATGTCCTCAAATCTCTGTGACATGGCTCAAAATAAGCCTCTACAACCGGGTTGAAGTTTTATACCGTTTTAAACAACTCAATGTCGAACGTACAGCATCTGAGGTTGTACCTAATGAAAAAGCTCAGATTAGAACTTAAGTGCGAACGCAGAATAAACTTTGTTTATCGTGCATATTATTCATTTCCATTACCTCAATGCAGCGTTAGAATTTAGCTCTTCAATAGTATATCGCATGATCTCATTGAATAGTCTGCTTTTGTAATACATACACGCTGCTCTAATCTAGAGATTTGGCTCAGCTTTTGGGGTTGATCTGCACGCGATTTTAAGCAATTCTCCCACACAAGACGAAAAATAGTCTACTTACGCCTACCTTAGTGATCAATAAAAAGAATTTATTAATAATGTCCTTAAGTCGTTAGTATGAGATCTACTTTTATACAGTATACGCAAGCCATTCGAGACGTTTGTGATGTAGGATATTTAAGCAATAGACCACATTTTCTATGGTTTTACCGGCGTGATAACCCACGTGGGATGTTGGGAGAACACAAGAAAAGCTTTTAAATCACGAGCCGAATGCGAGTGACTTACAAGCTTTTCTCGTGTTCTCCCAACATCCCAAGTGGGTTATAACGCCTGTAAACCCATAGAAAGTGTGGTCTATTGCTTTCATAAAATAACATTAAGTTTTCTATGAGGTTACCGGCACAATTAGCCTGAATTTCTTCCGATTACTTCGAGTCGTTATTACTCCCTCAGTAACGTCTGAATCGACCGGCCGTTTATGCCGTCCAGTGACGTCACTACTCCTTGACCTTTGCTTGAATTCATGCAAAAAGTAAAACACGATCGTTTGGAAATGTCTGCATGATACAGAATTGCTTTATTTTTTTCGATCGTAATTCATGTTTAACGTTCAAACTATCAACTGCATGCAGTACAACTCTGAACTGGTGGTACTGAATTCTATAATCTGAATCAAACTCGGTCGCAATCACGCAATGAAATAAACACACACACGGAACACTTAGTTCAAAAACACAATGATTTGCTTTAATTGAAAAGAAGCTATTTGGTCCTTAACGAAGAAAAAAACAAGGAAACAACAAAGAAAAGTTAACAGAATCATTACACGAGACGGTAAAAATAGCAAGAAGGTCAAATTATAATATTGAACTCAGAAAACTGCGCGTAAACAAAATCACCGGCCGCCGAAACCACAAACCGGCTCCAAATGAAAAACCTACCGCCCCTCCGCGATGATTCTTCATTCAGCATTAGCATTTCAGTTTCGAAGACAAGGGAAATTTTGCCGTTTAAGATAAAGATTAAGCTTGTCGAAATGTTTGAACCACACGAAAGAATTCCAGGGATGCGATCCGCTGAATATCAAGCGACAATGCCGCTAAAATTTCTCATAATTATATATAATTATGCGAATGTTTAGACAATCAACCAATCAAAATCACTACCCGGTTTTCGGGTAGTGAGTGACGTCACTGGACGGCATTAACGGCCGGTCGATTCAGACGTTGTTGAGAGGAGAAAACGACTAGAAGCAATCGGATGAATTTCAGGCTACTGTTGTTCTTCATAAAAAGGCTAAACCTCAGAATACCCGGCACTGAAATATTCCCCAATAACTCCTGCTACCGCAGTCTGCGGTCCGTAGTGCAGTGAAGCGAAACAAGCACACTATACATGTAATATACCTCATTTCAAATTCAAAGTGGACAGATACAAATTATAGTAGTTGCTAAAACATATATATCCAAGTGTCGCAACTGTTCATTTAACTGTGAAAGGTCTGAACCCACGAGTCATTTCAAAAGTAGGCTGAGTATGATTGTCCGGGTGAACTTAGTCCTGAATAGGACTGTTGTTGCTGACTGTCACTGTCAGCAACAACAGTCCTATTCAGGACTTTGTGCGCCTAGCCAATCATACTTAGCCTACGTATACCTCATTTAATTCACAAATCACAACAAAGCCAGTTTAAAATAACCAAGTGGATATTCATATGGGACCTATTTGCTATTCATACGGGATTGTTCTTAAAATAGTGATTCGGGTTAAGCACTGGCCTTAACTAAGGTTGAGCCCTGAGAATAGTGATTAGGGTTAAACACTGACTCGAAACAGTAAGCTTCCACTCAGAGTTCGGGTTGTTGCTATTTTGGTTTAAATCAAACCCTTCATCAGCTGCAAACAGTAGTCAGTAGTCTAGTGGTTTGGGTAATAGACAGAAGACCTACGCTCTGGGTTCAACTCCCTCTCTTGCTACTCTGAATTTTTTCCTTAAAAATTGAAGAGACTTATACTTTCAGAACATTTGTTGAGCAGAGCAAAACCTTACAAATAAACTACAGCCACAAATTTATGTCTGTAGAAAGAATCCCATATGAATAGTAAATACAATTCGGCATACAGATTCCATATGAATAGCCACCAAGTTAAAATATAGTAGCCATTCTAGTAAACTTCTAGCTGTTTATTTTAAAACTTGTCTAGATTCACAGTCAACTACTTCAGGGCGACAGACCGAGGTAGCAGTAAGTTTAAACACTTAGTCAATTTCAAATTCACTGACTATGGAATTAGGGACTACAGACGGCAGAAGTGATACAGTTACACACTTAGTCAGTTTCTATATCAGGAAAGTCCTCCACGATCAGGATTTCACTGTTTCCCAATCTTCCAGGATTTTATCGACATGTCAAAAAGATCTAATGGTCTTTTCCGGATGCCATTTTAATTTATAAGGGAAAAGGGAGGGATGGACAGACAAACAGAGGGATGGATGGATGCATGGATTTTTGATTACTTATTTCTACTCTATGAGTTTAAGAAAGTGTTAGTAAATATAAAGAACAGACGCAAGGAAGGATGGACAGACGGACTGAACAGACCAGCCAGAACTAAGATTTGTAAATGTTGTCTTCTAATGTTCGTTTCAAAATTTTTTTGAACTCTTACCAGTGAATATCATTGTGGCAGCATTTTAGTATTTTTGATTACTTATTACAACTCTATGAGTTTAAAAAAGTGTATAAAATATAACTGATGGACGAACAGAAATTGTGTCATAGTTAGCCGACATCTCTTTGTTTATTGCTCTTAGTTAAGCCCATCGGATGAAAGGAGAGACAATGAAGTTATTATACAAGAGTGTATGCAGAACTTTGCAGCCAAAGATTTTATCATGGAGCCAGATATTTTTAACAACATTAGAAGGTCAGTGGTGTATAGTATATTTTGTTGTCTGTCTGGTTTTTAAATCATTGAAATTCCATACTGACTGTCCAGCTGTCAAGACCACTAAACTACTATACCTTTTCCTTTTTTCAAGTCAACTACACGTAGCCAGAGCTTTTGAAACTACAGTATACAAATGTTAAGATTTTTTACC